TCTCTAGTCACTACACCTCTTGAGTTTGGGTGTAAAGGTGCTCCAAAGTAGTCTCTTATACCTATACCATGTCCAATGCCCTTCACACGACCCGGATGCTCTGGTTTTCCTGTTGCAACCATCAAGATATCATTTTTGCCTTCTGGAATGAAACTTCCTTGGGCTTGTTGCTCCTTAAGAGCATCCTGTAACATAAAAATAACAATCTTAATTAATATTATATATAATTGCATAGAAATTTAAGGGGACAAGAAATAATAATATTACTTACAATCCTCTCAGCAATCTCACGCGCCGTCTCGCTTGTATAGCCTTTTTTGCCTCCTTTTTTTTATTAGTGTCCATATCTCCATTTCTCCTCTCAGGAGACGGGGGATGGTGGAGAAAGGAGTATGGAAGGATCAGACTTAGCTTTTTCTTCTCTCTTCTTCTGTTTCTCCACCATCAATATATTGTCAGCCCTAGCATAACCCCCACGAGACAGCGTGTGGGGGCATTGATTCTGTCCAGCAATTTCCTGCCCTCTAGCTCGTTTTTCCTGTTAAAAAAAATTATCTTTAAATTTTATAGTTGAAGTAAACTAAACAAAACTTAAATTAATTAGAAATCAACAAACCAAAGCTTTTTCAGAAGTTCGAATCCTGACAAATTCTTACCAAGTATCTTCATCAAGGAACTGGTATGTGTTGAGAGGATTAGGAGGAGCCTAACCCTCTGGCACCTCAATATGGATATATCTCCTAGCAAGATCAGTCTTGAAATTTCTCCAGCGCGTTTCACAGTAGGAAATCAACCTGTGTCGGCAATCTTGATTAGAAGGAACATCGTACGTGAGCTGTAATGAAAACACAAGATGATAATTAGTAATTTAACAATAATATATAACTATATGCATAAATTAATTACGTACCTGAATACTTTCCCATATTTGGTCCTTCACACGTTCTGGCATATCAGATCAGTCCTCAAATACAATAGGGGGCTTGATACGAGATAAGAGACCAAGAAAACTAACAAACTTGGCCTTGTGTTCCCCTATCGGATTCCATCTCTGATCAAATTGGATTGGTAACCTATGCCCAGCACTCCTACTTAATGTCAAATCTCTCAATCGTGTGCCACGTCTACCTCTCCTCATAGACTAGCTCTCACTAAGGGTACCCTGAATTGAGTCATCACCAAGTGGCTGGCCAATAGTAGGCTGGCTCTGAGTGTCATCACCATGTTCACTTTGATACTCCATGTTCCTATTAATTCATATAGATTAAATTAATTAGAAAAATAAATAAATATAAGATAGTTACAAAACATAATATAAATTTAATTAAACTTAGGAAACATACTTTAATTTAAAAACTAAATTCATATAGGGATATTCTCCCATATCCCTTCATGGTGATCATTTCTTATAGCATGTTCATTATCTACTTCATCTACTACATTCAAAATTGGTAGCCCTGATGAGAAGGTAGGGGTTTCAGAAATATCGAAGCTTGATTCTTGATTATCATCACTATCAATCACCATTTTTCCTTTCAATGCTATTGACCAATTTTTATTTTCTGGATCTGTCACATAGAAAACTTGTTTAGCTTGGTCTGCCATGATAAATGGCTCATCCCCATAAGTTAGTTTTTTAAGATCAACTATTGTAAATCCTAACTTATCATCAGAAACACTGTTGATGTCAACCCATTTGCATTTGAAAATAGGAACTCTAAATTTTGTATAATCAACCTCCCAAATCTTTTCAATAACCCCAAAATAAGTCCTTGCTGCTAGTTTAGGTTTCTTATCTTTTGAATTAGAGAAGTGAACGGCTTCAGCCACTATCATAACCCCACTATTTTGCACTGTACTCTTTTCATCCAAGGACTTTGTGTAGAAAGAATACCCATTAATATCATACACACTCCAACATATAACATCAAAGTTAGGACCTCCTGTAAACTATTTAATTGTATCAGAAACGCTACTTTCATTCAAAACTTTCTACTTGAACTAATCTACAAAAGTCTTATTATGCTCTTTCAACAACCTTTGTTCAGTCATTCTCATTCGATAATTTTCTACCTTTAGAAGTTCTTTGTGAGAAGAAATGTATTCTTTAACTTCATCAATATTATTCAAGATATATAAATGTACTTCTTGTAATTCATCATGACTCATGCTCTTTACTGATACTCCACGTGTGCTTTAACCTAATTGCCTCTTCTCACGATGAGATTTAGAAAGTCCAATTGATTCTGTACTTGACAAGTAATGAGAACAAAATTCCATGGCTTCTTCGACAACATATTTTTCAACTATCGATGCTTCAGGTTGATATGAATTCTTGACATACCCTTTTAGTATTTTCATATATCTCTCAACTGGGTACATCCATCGTAAATAAACAGGGCCACACAATTTTACCTCCCTCACTAGATGCACTATTAGGTGAACCATAATGTCAAAAAAAGTAGGAAGAAAGTGCATCTCAAGTTGGCACAAAATCATACAAGCTTCTTGTTCTAACTCTTCTAGTTTACAAGGATCTACAACTTTACTGCATAAAGTATTGAAAAAGAAATAGAGTCTAGTTATTGTAAGTCTTAAATCTTCTTTTAATATACCTTGAATAGCCAAAGGTAATAGTTGTTGCATCAAGACATGGCAATCATGAGACTTTAAGCCTACCAGTTTTAACTCTTTCACTGACACAAGCTTTTCAATAATATTGAAGAATACCCTGAAGGAACTTTAATTCCATGTAAACACTCACAAAAATTTATTTTCTCAGACTTGCACAATGTATGAGAGGCTGGGGGACAATAAGTTCACTTACCTTCTGGTCTCGAGTATAAATCCTCTCGTATTCCCATTTCTTTCAAATCTAATCTTGCGTTCACACCGTCCTTGGTCTTTCCTGGTATGTTTAGAAGCGTTTCAATAATACTATCACACACATTTTTCTCCACGTGCATAACATCAATACAGAGCCTCACTTCAAGATTGTGCCAATATGGAAGGTTAAAAAAGATAGACCTTTTTTTTCCATATGTTTTTTGCACAATGTTCTTTTTAGTCTTACCGAAGATAATATTGATATCTTTCACTCGTTCAAACACTTGATCCCCAGTCAAAGCATCCGGAGCATGATTGTGCTCTTGGTGACTATGAAAAGCTTTCTTCAATTTACGATAAGGGTGATCTCATTTAAGAAACCTCCGATGGCCAAGGTAGACTGTCTTCCTTCCATGTTGAAGTTGATGATAGTTTGTGCTTTCTTCACAAATTGGACAAGCTTTATGACCTTTCACACTATAGCTAGATAAATTCCCATATGTAGGAGAATCATTTATAGTACAAAAGATCATAGCATGTAACTTAAAATTTTCCTTTCAATTTGCATCAAACACTTCCACACCTACCTCCCACAACATTTTTAAATCTTCAATTAGAGGTTTTAGGTAAATATCAATATCATTTCCAGGTTATTTTGGTCCTGAAATCAACATGGATAACATCATGTACTTCCGTTTCATGACAGCCGAGGTGATAGGTTGTAAATCACTAAAAGAATAGGCCATGAACTATGTATACTACTGAGACTACTATAAGGCTTCATTCCATCAGTAGAAAGTCCGAGCCTCAGGTTTCTTGGCTTATTACCAAATTCAGGAAACAATTGATCAATTTTCTTCCATTGAGGAGAATCGACTGGATGTCAAAGTTTTCCATCAGATATCCTCTCATTTGCATGCCACATCAAGTTCTTCGTATCATTAGTATTTGCAAACAAGTGCTTGAACCTTAGTATAATTGGAAGATACCATAAGACCTTTATAGGAGCCCCCTTCTCTTTGTACCGTGGTGCCTCACATTTCGGACACTTCTTCTCTCCTTCAAGCTCTTTTCTGTACAACACACAATCATTAGGGCATGCATGTATTTTTTTATACTTCATACCCATTGGACATAAGATCTTCTTGGCATCATAATAATGATTTGGTAGTACATTGCCTTTCAGCAACATTATTTGAAGTAACTCTAGCAACCAAGTGAAACTTTGGTCACTCCACCCAGCTCTTGCTTTTAAGGTAACCAGTTTTAACACCTCAGATAATAAACTAAAATCAGTGCACCCCGGGTATAGAGGCTTCTCCGCGTCAGTGCACAAGTTATCATACACATGTGCTCGTTCAAAAGCTTCTTCCCCCACATTACGGATTATGTCCTCTAGCCGATCTTCATTCATACCTATTTCATCATCTAGATTATCAATTTCCACGTATTGAGACGTGTTATTATAATTTTCCAATCGTTCACATGCCAAATCCATACTGTATAATTCTTGCAAATCCCATCACAAATCAAGTGCTCTCTTATTTCGACAGCACCTAATCTCCTCTCATTCAAGCAATTAACACAAGGACAATCGAACTTTGCACTATTGTCAATAGCATTTTTCTTAGCAAATTCTAAAAATTCCTTCACCCCATTATCACACTCATCACTTGTTCGTTTAGCATTCATCCAAGTACGATCCATATGTCAACTCCTAAAGAACATACTAATGTTAAAAATTGGACCTTCTTAAAAATGACCACATGCAAACAACTTGATAAGGCCTTCTTAAAAACTAAATTTAAGCAATTCAAGGGAAAAGAATGAATTTTAAAAATTTTCGACAGAGTCTCCCCTAAAAATTGGACCTTCCAAGACTTTTAAAAAATTTTAATAGAAAAAATTGATAATTTTAGATAAAATTAAAGATCACATGCAACAACTTAAGGATTTATAAATCTACTAACAGCACTCCCAACAATAATCAATATCATATTATCATATATATACACATATCAGCTTAATAAATTAACAAAAAAAAAATACAATCAAATAAAAAATTATCTTTATAAAAATTAAGAGCCATACCTAATCAATCAAAAGTGGCGGTAGTAACAAGAGGAGGAGCAAGCAGGAGGAGGAGGAGTAGGCGGTAGAGGCAGGGGGAGGAAATGGCAGCAGAAGGGGGGAGGGGCAGCCGCAGGGGGAAGGGGTGTGGGGACGGGGGAGGGGGGCCGAGGGGGTGGCTGGGGACCGGGGAGGGGGGGGGAGGGGGTGGGGGCCGAAGGGGGCTGGGGGCCGAGGGGGGAATGGGGGCAAGGCGGGTAGGGATAGGGGTGGGGGCCGAGGGGGGGAATGGGAGCGAGGGGGGTGGGGACGGGGGTGGGGACCGAGGAGGGCTGGGGGCTGAGGGGGGAATAGGGACGAGGGGGGCTAGGGAGGGGGGAGGGGCTGAGGGGGGTTGGGGACGGGGGGGGGACCGATGGGGGCTGGGGGCTGAGGGGGGAATGGGGCCGAGGGGGGCTGGGGAGGGGGAGGGGTCGAGGGGGGTGGGGAAAGGGGCAGTGGGATTGGGGATGGGGGGCGGGGGGACAAGGGTGGGGACCAGTGCTCGGGGAGGACAGCGAGCTGAGATGGTGGGGACGACAGAGTATGGGAAGGGGGACGAGGGAGGGAAGCACAAAAGAATGTTCTGAAGGCACAAAAATAAGGAATGAGAAGCGCGCATTAAAAGTTAAAAAAAATTTGAACCATTTTCTACAGTGGGTCACCTCTCACCCGCTGTAGAAAGTGATTTTCTACAGCAGGTATCCGTGCACCCGTTGTAGAAAATAAGTTTCTACAGAACCCGCTGTAGAAAATCTATTTTCTATAGTGGGTGGCTGGCACCCGTTGTAGAAACTTATTTTCTACAACAGGTGGAAGCTACTCGATGTAGAAAACTTATTTTCCACCTGCTGTAGAAAATAAGTTTTCTACAATGGCTGTCCATGCACCAGGTGTAAAAATTATTTTTAACATCGGTTGCCTTTTCACCCGGTGTAAAAACTATAATACGCATTGTCAAAATTACAAAAATGCCACCGCCTTAACTTTCTACATCGTTTGCCTTTCAACCGATGTAGAAAGTACCCCTTGAATTTCATATTTTGTACTAGTGGGGGCACCTTTAAAATCTTTTTTTGGGGTTGTTCTTGTAACATCTTAATTATGTGAGTTAGAAGAATTTATGAAGTTAGTGGAGGTGAATTGATAATAATGAGCTTAATATATAAGCTTGAATGTAAGAGACGAATGTTTTAGGTTGTTTAGGTTATTCGAATAAAAAAATAAAGAAAAAATAAAAATAAAACAAAATCAAACAAAAAATAAATAAAGAAAAAAATTTTAAAAAAACAAAAGTAAATGCAGTTTTGAAAATTGCATTGTGAGATGAAAAAGACTAAGGACACATTTGGAGAAGCTAAAATGTGACAAAGAAAAAAGAGTTATTATGCAAGTGTCCTAAGGTGGTGTAAGTATATGTGTGTCTACAGATATATGTGAATATAATAAAATTTTTATAATAATATATTTAAATGTTAGAAAAATAAAAGCAAGAAAGAAGAGAATTAATAACTCAAAATAAGGCTAAACTATATGTATGCATGAAGCAAATGAGAAATAAAAATAAGAAAAAGAAATAAGATGAAAAATTAGGAATTGACAAGTTATTTCCAAAATTATAAATTAAGTCCAATAAATCTAAATAATGCTCAAAATACCAAAAACAAGTGTCAAAAACTAAGAATAAAGAGAAATAAAATGATGTAAAAAATATGATTTATCAGGAGAGAGCATCAGTCGGTTCAATGTCAAAATATACAAAATTGATCAACCAAGTAATACTAAAAATATTAACTGACTCAAACCAAAACTTGACAATTCAATTTGATTGGTTAATTCAGTTTTTGAGCTTTATGTTAGGGTGCTAGGACAATTGGGCCTATTTTGTTATTTTTTCCCACTAAAAAAGAAAGAGCATACAAACAAGCCTTATATAAAAATATACTTATAAAGTGATAGTAGTCCATTTTAATTTGTAACATATAACCCACATATATTCCATCAAGATTAAAATTCAACTCAACAAATTCACCTCAACAAACAACAAAGCAACATATTAATAAACAACAAAGAGTCTAAATTTAAGCTAAATCAACAACATACTAATAAAGCATTAAGAAGCATGGTTTATTCAGCTTGAAACAAGATTCAACCCCAAGCCTACAATCTACTTAAGTCTTCAAAATATTAAAATTAAACCATTATAGCAACTAGACGTCCAGATTCACATGGCCACTAAATCAACATTGAAGCCATGAATACAAAACAAAACAAGCAGCCTTCATAAATGGATCTTAGCATCACAACACTAGCATCTTGCAACCTATATTATACAAGCAAAAATCATATAACTAGCCAAGAATTAATCATTAATTAAGTATCAAACTTATAAAAGACTTAGACAAAAATCAAGCATTCAATGTCATCAATAAATTAACTGTCACTCCCCAAAAATAAAGAGTGATTGGCACAGGTGTAAATCACTCTCACATCCCCGTAAGCCTCCAAATGAATATTTATTCTATTCTACAAAAGAAAAGAACAAAATTTAATCAAATCACATGAGAATTAAAATAACTTCTTTAAACTCAATATCATAAGAGAGTGTCGATATTTTTGTAAAAATTTCGGCAGAACCTCCCCTTTAACTAGGATCTCCCGAAAACTCTACAAGAAATTTTTTTACAGATAACAGTATAAATCAGGAGCATAGCTCCTTCCAGCCATCAACTAATATACAGATCAAAAATAAGATTTATCAACAACCTATGTGGAGCATCTACTCTTTCTTTCAAATTAAAAAGATATACAATTTCTATATTTACATTAAAGCAACAATACCAATAAAAAAGGTTCACCCACTGTAGCTAGTTGCCCTTTAGAGGTCGATGGTGGGATAAGCGTCAGCTAACAAATCTGAGACCAAAATAATTTTTCCAGTGAATAGCATTCTTATGAGAAAAGTTCTTAGAATTTTAATCAATAATCTCTAATAATAGTGTCAGCTAGTTAAAAGTAATTCCACCAAAATTTACAAACATGTAAGTCATAACCATATATATAAAATAAGAGTAAATTGAAAATAATTTATGTTATCATGCTTAAAGAAAACAATATGCTCTCATATAACTCAAAGTGACACAAATTACTAGTCAAAATCAGTTAAATTTTGAAAACACATATTAATCATCATTTAAAATTTTAAGAACTCAATAAAACAGGTTACAAATGTGGACACTCAGTCCACGAGGGTAAATAACCAAACATGGCTTATGCCACGAAAACAAACGTAGACACACCAGTCCATGAAAATAAGTAACCAAACATAGCCGAAGCTACGAAACACATGTGGAAACACAGCCCACACGGGTAAGTAACCAAACACGACTCAGGCCACGGAATCAAATGTGGGTACAAGGCCCACGAATACCAAACATGAGAATAATACTCATGAAACAAAATAGCTAGTATTTAACCACAGCGTGCTACGGGCTAACGAAATTGCCATTAGTAATAGTGTTCTGTATAGAGTTCTCTTAGAAATCCTGTTTCAAACATGTGAGAGAAATAATTATTTTTTTGAAGTCAAATTTTCATTCTTAAGATTAAACTCGCATGAATTGCTTCAAATATATGAAACTTGCCAAATCAATACATCATAATGAATGTACACACTTGTACTAATCATGTAACCAATAAATTTTTGAAATTCAATAAGCAAAGGTGCCTTCATCAATATTAGAAATATACTTCTTGAGAAAATGCACAAATCATACTATAACTATCCTTCATCGTTATTTCAAAATTTGTAAAACTAACATAATTTATAAAAATAAAATATTTCAATAAAAGATTTTTAGTAAATAATTATAAGAAATGCTATTCACTTACTTATCGAAGTTCTAAATTCTCAAAAATATTCTTCTTTTAATTCTTGTCAGGGTCTTATTCTTCCACACACCCTATAAAATATAAATATATACAATTTTAATAACTTTGTAATTTATAACACACTCTCTATTAACCATCATCAAAAATTCAAAACCAAATTTATGATTTAAAGTTAATTCAAACATCATCGTTCATTTCGCTTACTTTCTCCATAAAACTTTAGCCATGCCATTCTATTTTCTTGGAATAGAAGTTTTCTCCCAATCTTTGCACCACTTACCTTAGGTGCATTACTTCTACCATTTCAATCTAAAACCTTTAACAATTTACCAAAAATCAAACAAGCTCCAAATATACAAATAACTGCGTGTAAGCCTATAATTTAAATTCCTTTATAGATCTACAGGTGAATTCCTAATCAATAATTTCCATCAATATTTAGAATTTATTTATTTTTATTTCCTCATACAAGCCCTTCAATGACATCTGATAGGCACCAACAACATATCTAAGCTTGTCTCTTCCAATTTCACCTCAATAAATTATTTAGCATTAATCAAATCAAACAAAATCAATTTAAATATAAAATTATGACTCATCTATATCATTATCATTCTTCAATACTACTACATATTTTTTGTTAATTCAATCATGGGTAGTAACAGAAAATCAAGAGATGAAAAGCAATTTCAATATTATTTCATTATACCCATAGGTGTGTTAGTTACCAAGAAGAAAGAGAGAAGGGATCAAGACTCTTCACCTCAAATGAGCCAACGACATACAGCAGGGGAGGTGGAAAATGAAATTCACGGCTGAGCAAGAGGAAAAACGAAGCACTATTCAAAAGAAAGTGAAGGGAACCGAATCCACCAATTTCCAGCGAGCTGATTTCTTCCATTATTAGCAACATATGAATGAAATTTGTGAAAATAGAGCAAGAATCAGAATCGAGTAGAAGGAAGCATAACAAACTAAGAACATAGTTGAGAAACTTGACAGTAGCAATAGAAAAAAATCCCATAATCTGTACCTCGCTCAACTGAGACCGAACAAGGAAGCAAGATGAGTCACAGCTCTGTATAACAAGTTGAAAGGAAGAAGAAGAAGAGAGAAGGTTCGCTGCACGACTCCAACGCGAGAAGAGCAAAAGACTTCCGGCAAACTCACAGCACTTGAGATGGATGAAAGAAAAATGATGAGGAAGCTTGGAATGTTTGCACAGTTCACAGATAGCAAGATAAGGGAGAATGAAGTAAAAACAGGTGAGAACAACTAGTCACTGAATGTCTCCTATGGTGGATTTTTTCGGCACTACTAAGGTCACCGGCGAGTAGTTTAACGACAGGGATGATAATAATGGATGAAGGGCTGAACGAAAAGGGTTCGAAGTTTTTGGTGAAGCCTACAGCTCTCTTGACTCACGCACTAATCTACTGGGAAAGGAAAAGAGAAGGAATTATATCACAATGGGAGAAGGGCAATTTGGTAATTTTGCATAGGAAAAAGAAGGAAAAAAGTTGATTCTTCATTTGATCTTTTCCGAATTCGAACTAGAGACCTGATATATGAAGTCTTCCTCAGCTGCTACTAGACTCAGTATCTAACTTGTTATATTTATCTCAAGAACTAATATAAACACACTTTAAGCAAGTTAACCTATTTATTTATTTATTTATTTATTTTAAATTTAGTCAGG